TTCCCATCTTGTTTCACTCAGTGGTTTAACATTGAGTTTAGATACTTGTCGAGTTAGAACTTCCCAGTGAAGAGTTGATGCAGAAAAGAATACATATACACGTTGCACCATATTAAAGGCTGTTGCTTTTAAGCAACATTTAACAGCATAATTAAATGACAAATTCAATGTATATCACAGCAAAATCCAAGATTCTAGGTTAAGAACTTTGGATCTTATTTTAAGAACTTTTGTTCTTATTTTAAGAACTTGATTCTTATTTTAAGAACCTGATTCTTATTTTAAGAACCTGATTCTTATTTTAAGAACTTGAGTCTTATTTTAAGAACCTGATTCTTATTTTAAGAACTTGATTCTTGTTTTAAGATTTTGATTCTTATTTTAAGAACTTGGTTCTTATTTTAGATTTCCATTCTTATTTAAAGATATTTCAATAAAAAACATTGTTCCTAATTTTATAATGTTGCAACATTTTGTTTGTAAATAATATGTATATATATTTATATATGTATACATATTATATACAAACAATATATATATATATATACCCACATATATATATATATATATATATATATATATATATATATATATATATATATATATATATATATATATATATATATATATATATATATATATATATATATATATCAATAGATACCTGCAGGTATACCTAAAAAAAATTAAAGAATTCAGAAAAATTAAAGCCACTGAATTTCCCTTTCTGAAAATCCTCCCCACCCTCTGATAGATCTTGTGTTCATGATTTTATGTAATCAAATAGTCTAATCCATTTGATCCATAAGACTAAAATACAAACCAGAAAGAGTCGTATACTTCAAGAATTTTATAGAATTTGCCTTTAATAAATGCAATATTCATATCTGCAAATCTGCATACATCTAAACAGCATAAAAGTAAGTCTTTTGTATGGGCGACGTAGTAGCAGAATAATATAAATGTAAGGTGCAAGCATGCATAAGAGCGTTTTGGTTTAAAGTGCTTCAAAGCTGTGCACTTCTTTATAATAAATGAATTTAATAAAAATGAATAAACTGCCGAGCGACGGATCAAGGAGTTTTTGTGTGGCTAAAGACTCTGCCCCTTCCGCCTACCCCCCCCCCCCAAACTGTCATTAAGTCCCAAAAATCTTAAAAACCTACAGTCAATTACAAGCGTTATGTTCATGAGCGCATGTTCAAAAAGTTCATAAGAAATTTTAGAGATTCTAAAATGGCTGCGGATCTTAGATTTTTTATATAGCAACTTATTTTTAATTTTGGTTTTGTAAAAATTAATGCTGCAACTTATTTATTAAACTCGTGATGAATGGAGTATTTTAAGTCATTAAAACGAAATAAAGCTACTGGGTAAGATGATATTAACACAAATATTGTGATTGATTCATACAATGTTATAAAAGATATTCTTTATAAAATCTTCCGAGCATCCATTTTACAAGGGTCTTTTCCAGATAAACTAAAAATAGCGAAAGTAACTCCAATCTTCAAGACAGGGGATCGTACAAATATAACAAATTATCGCCCTATTTCAGTTCTTCCAGTTTTTTCAAAAATTTTAGAAAGAATAATGTACAACCGAATCTACTCTTATCTTGTTGAAAATAAAATTCTATACGAAAACCAATTTGGTTTCAAAAAAAATAATTCAACCGAGCATGCTATTCTTCAACTTACGAGCAATATAACCGACTCATTTAAAGACTCTTGTTTTACACTAGGAGTGTTTATTGATTTGTCCAAGGCATTTGATACCGTCAACCATCAAATCCTGTTAAAAAAACTAATATCATATGGTATTAAAGATAAAACCCTATTATGGTTTGAAAGTTATCTTACGAACCGTAAACAGTTTGTTTACGATAAATATTCTATATCTCACATGTTATATTCTATTAATGAATATAACATGTGGTGTTCCACAAGGATCCGTACTTGGTCCTCTTATTTTTTTAATATACATAAATGATCTTCATAAATCATCAAATTTAACAACAATAAATTTTGTAGATGACACAAATTTGTTTTTGTCTCATAAAGATATTAATATGCTTTTTACAAATATGACAAATAAATTAAAAAAGTTTCTGTTTGGTTTAAACAAAATAGATTGTCTCTAAATATAGAAAAAACTAAATGGACACTTTTTTATCCACCTTTAAAATACCAGAAACTGCCCCATATCATGCCAGACCTTCTAATTGATAATATAATAATAAAAAGAGAAAAAGTTACTAAATTTCTTAGAGTATATATTGATGAAAACCTATCTTGGAGAAATCATATTGATAATACCTCCAATAAAATTGCTAAATGCATCGGAGTTCTCTATAAAGCAAGAAATATATTAAGTAAACACCAGTTAACACAATTATATTATTCATTTATACATTGTCATATAAACTACGCGAATATTATATGGGGAAGCATTCACAGAACAAAGCTAAAATCTCTTTACCTTCATCAGAAACACGCAACTCGCGTAATAAATTTTAAAAATCGGTTTTCACACGAAACAACTTTTTAAAGAAATGAATATTTTAAATGTATATCAACTAAATGTCTTTAATATTTTATGTTTCATGTTTAAATGTAGAGAAAATTTGTCGCCAAATGTATTACAAAATTTTTATTGTATGAAACCTAAAAACAAATATAATTTTCGAATTAATAACAGTCTTATTGCCCCTTTTTGTGGTAAAAGCAAAGACCAGTTTTTTGTTTCTTACCGAGGTCCTTATTTCTGGAACAAAATAGTCTTACCAAATTTTGATTTTTCAACCCAAATGACTTTAGCTTCATTCAAACAGAAACTTAAAAAAATTATATTTTTAATTGAAAATATCTTGATTTATTTTTAATTGCTTTTTTTTTTTGTTTTGTTTTTGTTGTTGTTTTATTTTGTATATTATTTGGTTTAAAATTTTATCTTATGCATAGAGGTGTATTATTATTTCACTACAGACATTGTATTTTTATTAAAAGTTAACCATATATTGTAAAGGGCTTCATGACAAGATCCTCATGATCTTCTAGAAGTCCTGTCGTTACTAATGTAAAAAATTGTAAAATATATTTAGTTATTGTAATATTAAACGGCAAAAATAAAAAATAAAAAAAATAAAAAATAAAATAATAAAAAAAAAGTATTTGGACCAAATGTTGTTTGTTGTATTCAAACCTAACACCCAATTTTTTTATAAATGGAATAACATCAATAAAACTGTATTAAACCAGCAATATATTTTTCTAAAGTCAAATAGATTGTATTAGTAAAAAGCAAATCTCTTTTATTAGGTACGCGGAAATCACGATTAACGGAACCGATTCTGCTAAAATTTTGTGGCTCGTTTTTTTAACTTTTTTTGAGGTAGCATTAGGAAAACATATTTTTGTTAAGTTTTTTTTTAGAAATATATATACAGATTTTTTTTGAAAGACTTTTTTGAAAGAAGAAAGATTAATCTTGATTTTTAAATAATTTTTATGTATGGTTACTGAATTTTTTTATGGATCATTTTGGTTCTGAAAAATAGGTTGATGTTCTCACATAAATATGTAGTCGAAGGAATATTGATCCCGGTCTTTTTAGTATTCAAAGAAATTTCTGCATGCAATTTTTATGCACATATCAAATTTCTACGAAAAAAAAGGGGAGCAGATAGGTTTCAAAGGGTTCTACCACGCATACTACATTTTTTCGGTAGTCGTAGTAAAACGTACTTTTGTGGTATTTCTTTTTAGAAAAATATGCAAATAAAGAGTTGTTTTTGAAAGAAGAAAGGTTAAGCGTGATTTCTATATAACTTTTATGTATGGTTACTAAACTTCTTTATGGGTTATTTTATTTTAAATTTTGCATGAAAATTTAGACGATGTTCTCACTTGAATTTGTAGTAAAAGGAATGTTGATCCCGCTCTATTTATTATTTAAACAATTTTCTACATGCATTTTCTATGTAAATGCCAAATTTAAACGAAAAAAAAAAGGGAGCAGGCAGTTTACTAAGTGTAACACTTTTGGTATCTAATTTCTGTTTGTCTCGGTTATAGCAAATTACGGGGGCAGCTAGGGGGGCCATTCGCAAAACATTGTTTTTGCGAGAAATTGTTATTGCGAAAATGTTTATTCGGATTTTTATTATTAAATAATAAAATGGAAAAAATTAATGAAATTTTGTTGGACTCTGTAACAACTAGTAAGTTATTTTTTTTAATAAAAGTATAAGTAATAATTATTTTTAAAACTAAATTATGTTGATAAATTTAAAAATCTTTTTTAAATTCTTAACGTTTAAGACTAAAACTTCAGTAAAACTGTTGCTTTTGAATTAATTGTTAACTCAATTGAGTTACAATTGAGAATACTTTGATCAAAGTATCAGTGGACAACTTTATAAAAAAGCCATACATAAATAAGTGTAAAGATGTGATGTTACACTTATGTGATGTTACACTTATTTATCTTATGTGTTACACTTATGTGATGTTACACTTATTTATCTTTACACTTATTTACTTTACTAACAAAAGCCTTGTTAGTGTTTTTAAAATATATTATCATCATCTTATTATCATTTTAAAATAAAATCATTTAATTATTGATCACAATAGCCTGTTTAATAGGCTATTGTAATCAATAATTAAAAGATAAAGTAGTATACAATTTATATATTCCATTATCTAAACATGTTAATTGTTAAATACAAAAATAAAGTAGTATACAATAAATTAATGTTAATAGTCAATAAGAGTTATAACTTTTTTTATTAAAATACTTTAAAAACATAAACTTAATCATTAAGTTAATGTTTTTAAAGCGTTTTAATAATGTTAAAGCAATATTAATAGTATAAAAGATAAAATTGTTATTAACTAATAATATTCAATAACAATTTTATCTTTTATACTATCAATATTGTTTTATATTAATAATTTTGAATTATAAATTTCAAATTAATAAAAAATTAATAATTATTATTAATTTATTGTTTACTACTTTAACTTTGTAGCAATATTCTAAGTGTTAGTTTGTTGTTTGTAATTAGATTTTTTTTATATTTTCATTGTTAATTTTCTGTTTAAGTTTTCATTTTGCCATTTATGATGGTAGAGTTGAAAAAAGTAAACAAGTAATAACAAGGCAGAATTGACACTATTTCTTATTGAAAAAAAGATGGAACTGATATTGAACTGTCAAAAGATTAAAATCTCCTGCTAGTTGCTGTTGTTATATCAGGGAAGTTTAAATTTTTTTAATTGGAATATGAAGTTAATGTAGAAATGCTCACAGTATAGCAAGTTTTGTAACCAGCAAAATAACTACCACAAGTTTTATGGCTTGCAAATAGGTTTTGCAAGTTTTGTGGCTTGAAAATAAGTACAACAAGTTTTTTGACTAGCAAATAAGTACCACAAGTTTTGTTGCTTGCAAATAAGGTACAGTAAATTTTATGGCGTGCAAGTAGGTACCGCAAGTTTTGTGGCTTGCAAATTGATACTTGGCTCTGGCTTACCTTTACGTGGTGTCTATTGTTAAAAATTATTCATTTTGTTTCGTTAATGTAATTTAAAATTAAATTATTTGCTAGAAGCTTAGACAAGAAATAATTACATTTTTTATTTCAAAAAACTTGTTTTTTTTGTGTGTTTTTTTCTCAGGTTGGAGTGGTTAATCTGTTCCTTTACATGATAATGTATACTCAGATGCATCTTGTAAGGTGGTAAAATAGTTTTTTATTCTAATTTCTTTTTCTTTAAAAAAACATTCAAAGACTTCTTTGTTAAATTGTAATTAAAATTTTTTTATTTGGTTCAGACAGAGGAGGGGGATGGCTTGCTCCTCCTTTTATAAAGACAAATTATACACCTCTAGGTGTATAAATTGCCTTTATGAAAGGGGGTGCATAAAGGCAATTTATACGTACTATACTAAACTTTTTTTCAAAAGGCTTTTTTTTTTTGTTGTTTTTTTTTTTTAAGGTTGGAGTGTGTAATCCGTCTTTTTTCATGACAAAATGGTTACTCTGATGCATTTTGTAATGTGTTAAAATATTTTTTTATACTAATTTCTTCTCTGTTTTTTAAAAAAGCATTTTAACATTTTTTTGTGAAATTTTCATAAATTTTTTTTTTCAGGTTCATGGCAGGGGGGGGGGCAGTATACGCTCTCTGCCATCAAAGCAATCTATACACCAATAAATAAATAATAACTTGTTGTATATAAATATTACTAATTTTATAAAGAAAACACTCTATTTAAAAAAAAAAATTGTATTTTTGTGAGGTGCAGGTGGCGGATTAGCACCCCCTCTGGATCCCTCCATGCACCCTAGAAACTAGTTTGAAATTATAGCCCATTTTTACATCTATCTTTTGATACTAAGTTACAGATATTTGAATAAGAATTGTCAAAGTTATAATAATTTATGTAGGAAATTTTTTTTTTTAATACAGTTTTATCAAGAAATCCATATATTGAAAAATTGCTACTAAAAACGTTATATTTTTTTTTATAGAATTGTCTAATTTTCATAATTTTTTCACCTTTAAAATACTGTATTTGAGGGCTTTCCAATGATATATAGCATTCTAGTATTGGATCAATTTAAAAAAATCAGTCCACGTACCTATTAATATAAATTTTATTTCTCAAACGTACTACAAACATTTTAATATGATATATTATATATACTTATAATTTATGAACCAATAATTTTTTATGAATATCTAATCTATAAACAAGATATTTAAATTAATTTACTTTCAAGAATAACACTCTAATTCTAATATTCTTTTCTTTCATTTTAAAATCAAATTGTGTGCTCTTGTTCATCTATTAAATTGTTTATTTGTCTGAAATCACACACAAGTTACCCTACCTCTTCCAATCTGTAATTTCTTTACTTCTATCAAAAATTATCTTCCTCTTTTAACAACCTTAAATTATATATTCTAAATCATTGTTCAGTTAAGTACAGCATAACAAATCACATCACAAACCAATGCATAAAATCATGAAATAATTTATCATTTTTTATACATAGAGTAATTTATTTTTTATATTCACTTTATATCACTAAACTTTACTACTAAAACTCATCTTTATGTCTTTTTATTTTGGAGAAATGTAATTACTGTTCGTAAAATGTTGGACTCATTGTGGGTCATTATTATTGCTCTTGGTATGATTATATGTAATATAAATATCAATGTTATTTTACTTCTATTCATATCACTGTTACTTATTGTTATTGTTTAATATTAAATTTAATATTTATCAATATTATTGTTACTATTATTATTGTTATTATTATATTAATATAAATACAATTGTTAACATTAGTTACCTCGTTATAATTGTTTTAATATGTTATTGCTATTATTATACAATTGGTTTTTACTTAAGATTAGTATTAGTACTATTTCTAAATATCCATGTTTATGTTGCATACATACACATATATGTGTGTGTTTTCTTTTAAGCTATTGCAAGTTTCCAAATACATGCAAAGTAAAGTAAGTAAAGAAAACAATACTTTTCAATTAGTAAATTTAGTTTTATTAACTAATTTTAAGTTTTTACATTTTTTATCCTTATTTTTATAACATGATCAATTAAAATGCACTAGAACTTTGTTCTGGTGCATTTTGATTGAACTAAGTATAGAATTTTAATTTATTAACCTGGGTAAATAAATTTCCAATTGAGAGAGTTGATAGAGTTGCAGCATTTTTAGAGAAATATCAATGTGTCCCTAATGTGCTATTAGTAAAAGAAAATTTTTTTATTTGTAATTTCATATATTCATTGGATAAAATGAAATAGTGTTTGAAAATCACAAATTCTTTTTTAAATGAGAAGGTATTTTCAAAACTGCTATGTCCTCTAATGGGTTATTCTATAAGTTTTCTCTTCTTTTTAAAGTTGTATGCTTTTTTTATTATTATTATTTAATTCAGACTGTTGGCGACATGGCACATGTATTAAAGTCTTCTGTGACAGTTGACTCAGCAAGAATGAAGACATTGATACACTTTTTCATTATGGAATACACAAGTTGGCAGTTCCTCGCCCACTGCCACTCCCAAATACAGGTAGGTATGCATGCATACACAACCCTCAAGATTAGTAAAACTAAAATGAGTTATAAATTGTCGACATTTTAAGATATGAAAAGATATTATTGTTAAATTTTGAGTTTGTAAAATTTTTTTATTTTTAGGTATAAGAAATCCTTATAACGTAACAGACGATCGAGACGAAGTGATTATTATGTGTGGCAAAAGATTATTTTATGAAGCTTTTTATTTTCTGACTTCGTGATGGAACTTATTGGAGTACAATTTTTTTGGACATAGGAAGAGCATTGCCGCTGCAAGCATGAACAATAATAAAACATTCCAAAGAATAATTTGTTATTTTAACGATTAGATTTGTTGTTTGAATGTATAAATGCTTGTTGAATATTTTTATCATATATCATCCTAATTTCAAAATAATGTTTCATTTTTTCCATAGAAAGATTACTTTTGTAATATTGTTTTATAGTTCAGGGGAAATATTATTGAAAAAAAAAATAGAATCTTATTTTAAATTTTTTTAAAGGAATATAAGTTCTTGAAACAAGAAAAAAATATATATTTTAAGAATATAAGTTCTTGAAACAAGAAAAAAGTTCTTGTTTTAAGAATAAAAATTCTTAAAACAAGAAAAATATTTCTTATATTAAGAAAAAAAAATTCTTATATTAAGAATAAAAATTCTTGAAACAAGAAAAAAAAAATATTAAAAAAAAAAAGTTCTTAAAACAAGAAAAAAAATTCTTATTTTAAGAATAAAAATTCTTGAAACAAGAAAAAATTTTCTTACGTGGCGGACAAGTCATTTTTTTCTTGTTTTAAGACTTTTTTTGCTTAAAACAAAAATCTTGGATTTTGCTGTGTATGAACAGCAAGAAACAAACAATGCACTGGGATCGACGTTTAAAATTCTTCGTTAGACACCCTTATTTTTTCCCTTATATTTCTGCCATTGTCATATCGAGTAAGTTTTCAATAAAGACACCTCGTCTAACTGCTTAATAATAGTTTGTCATACCAGCACCTGCTACATCCTTTAGATTCACAAAATCTATGAAATTTTCTTTTATAGATGCTGTTGCTGCTATGTCATTTTCTGGATTTGAAATCACATACACAAAGTTAATGATCATAGTTGTTTGTTTAACATGACTAGCGTCAGGTGTGCAATCTATACACTGTTAAAAAGTTCGTACTTTTACGGAATTATTTTCCGTTATTTGTACGGAAAGTACCCATTTAACAAAATTGAACGGAAATTTTCCTTCTTTTGAAATAAATTATGAAACATGGAAATTCCCGTTGGAAAAAGGTTTTATTATGGAAGCCAAAGTAAAACTTTAGCATACACTCATAAAAGTTAAAAATTGGTTATATTTAAAAAACACGCTAGCTAAAAAATTTAAAATTGCATAAAAAGCAATTTAAAATTTTTTAGCTAGCGTGTTTTTTAAATATAACCAATTCTAGTGTATATGTGTATATATATATATAACATGTGTATATAGATATAACAAGTGGGGTCCCTCAAGGTTCTATACTAGGACCTCTTCTCTTTTTAATTTACATTAATGATCTCCCTAAAGTCTCAAGTTAAATGACGGTCATGTTTGCCGACTATACAAATCTTTTTTTATCTCATAACAACATAGCAACATTATTCCAAAAAATGATCATTAAATTTACAAAAGTTTTTGACTGGTTTAAAATGAATAAGCTGTCACTAAATGTTGAGAAAACTAAATGAATAATTTTTCATCAAACTTCAAAATAAAAGCTACAAGCTCCAGTCATGCCCTTACTTTTTTTTGACAAAGTTCAAATAAAAAGAGAACAAACGACTAACTTTTTAGGAATAAATATTGATGAAAACCTTAGTTGGAAGTATCACATTGATTTGTTGTGCAACAAAGTTGCTTGAAATATAGGAGTAATGTAAAATTATATTTCTCTTTAATCCATTGCCATATAAATTATGCAAATATTGCTTGGGGTGTTACAAATAAATCCAAACTGCTACCTCTTTATCGTCAGCAGAAGCATGTTGCTCGTCTTATCAATTATAAAGATCGATTTTCTCATGCCAAAACATTATTATTTCAAATGAAAATTCTTAATATTTATTAGCTAAATATTTTTAATATAGTTTATTTTATGTTCAAGTGTAAAACCAACGAATCTCCAGTTTCTTTTCATTATCTATATACCTTAAAAGATAAAAATAAATATAACTTAAGAAATGATAATCTATTTCGGCAACCTTTATCTTTAACTAATTTTGGAAAGTCATGTATTTCATATCGAGGACCCAGTGGGCACCGGACCAAAAAAAAAACGTCTTATAAACGTTCAAAAGACGTCTAAAAATGTGTATAAGACGTTTAAAAGACGTCTTTATTACGTCCGTGTCCACTGGGGAGCTTTTCTTTGGAACAAAATATTTTTAAAAAATTTTGATTTTTCCGATGAGTGGAATTATCTTTCATTCAAGAAAAAACTTAAAAAAATTGTTTTGTCTTTTGAAGACATGTTTTTATATTTTTAAATTCTTATAAAAATGAATATGAAGTTTATTACATAAGGTAATTTATAAATATTATATCTGATCCAGAACTTATGTGTTTATGAAAACAGTATTTTTTTAAATATAATTTTGTATTTATATATAAGAGTATCAAAAATCTTTTTATTCCAACTTTATTGCGAAATTATTGCGAAACTTACGTTCTCGCTAGTTATTACTAATTTTTACTACAACATTGTTTTGTTTTTTTGATTTTATACTTCATGTTAATTTGATGTACTTAATTTCACGAGCGGTTCTCGATGATAAGACCTGAAGGTCTTCTGCTAGTATCCGCGTTCTTTTTTTGTATATATTTCTTTTATTGTACAACGATTTTTATCTTAACTATCTTATTGTATAAACTATATTGAATATTCAAGGAAAAAACAATATATATATATATATATATATATATATATATATATATATATATATATATATATATATATATATATATATATATATATATATATATGGGTTTTCATATAACAACTCAACAAAAAATCTTAAAATTGGTTGAAAACGAAACTATATTTGCATTTTGTATTTTAAAACACCAAGTGGTTTTTTGAAATATTATCAACGTAATTTTATACGCATAAGTTTACTTTTTGCGCTTAAAAAAAAATTCCTCACTTTCGGTTTCTCATAATAAATGGTGTCCTTCAAGTTAAACTTCTTTAGAAGTAGTTTTCTGCGATTTGTATTTATTTTTTGTTACTTTAATTAGAGTTATTGGCAGTTTTTAAAATTTTATAAAATTGGAGGTAAAAATTGCATAATAAGTCATCTTGCCCCGGTCACGTGACCAGATGACAAATTTATGAACTTTTCATTTTAATATTTATTTCAAATTGTTATATTTGCAAACTGAAAATTCATGCAGGCAATGAAAGAACTTAATAGCATAAACATACTGAGAAAGTATTATGGCTTCACGACTTATAGTTTTTCAATAACTCAGGGCTTTCAAAACGTTCGCCATGTTGCCCCGCTTTCCCCTTTATATATATATATATATATATATATATATATATATATATATATATATATATATATATATATATATATATATATATATATATATAAGGATATGTAATACAGTTATATTATTATAAGCTTGTATATACTTTATCAAAATTGTTAATAATTTTTTTGAAAGTGTTCGCTACTTTACTAATTTATTATTTATTCGTGTATTTGAAATGTAAATCACGGAAAGTTTAATATTTTTTATGTAAATCAAAAAAAATTTGCTTTCAGAAAATATTCTCAAAAGCATACCATTGATTTTATATAGATATATTATTTGCTAGAAATATTTTGTTTTTATTTTCATATGAACGGAATATAAACTGTACCATTACTTTTATTTACGGAAACTATCCGGCAGCTGAGTAACCTCAACCTTTCCGTTGTTCAACGGAAAAAACTTGTTTAATGTATAAGTTTATTTACGGAAAAGTTCCGGTAGCTGCGATGACCAAACCTCCCGTTGTTTAACGGAAAAAACCCATCGTATTTAAAGGGAAAAATTCCGTTTTTTAACGGAAACTTCTGTTTAAATGTCCGTAAAATAACGGCTAGTTTGGTCATCGGCAGCTGCCGGAACTTTTCCGTAAAAAACGCGCTATTTTTTTAATAGTGTAGTTATTGAAAAGTACTTAGCATCAAGAGCAAGTTAGAACTTTTTGTTTGATCGCATTAGATAAAATATAGATAAATTTAAATAAACGTTTATATAATGAATAATAATGAACCACCAGCAACTGTTAAAACTTTAAACTGATATGAATAGTCAGTTGTTTTTTTTAACAGTTGATTTCAAATGGATTTCAAAGTTGGTGACTTTAAAATCCAACAAAAAATTTTTGTTACGTTCTAAAAAACCTGGCCAGTTTTTCGCAACTAAGTATAATTTTGGTAGTCAGTATCCAAGAGCGATCGCTCCCGCTTGCCGATCAAGCAAGTGGTGTAAGCTTTGATATGTTGATTATTATAAAATAAAATGTTAATTACACTCTGACTTTTTGACCGTAATATATGAAAAAGTCTTTAAAATTGTAAAAGTTAAAGCTATGAATAAAGATTTTCAATCATCAGACATGAAGAATTTTATATAAAAACTTACCATTTAATGAATTTTGTTCATTTAACTTCTCAGAGCAAACATTGAACTTCTGTAAAGAGTTTGTAGTTACAGGTAAATTCCAAAGTTTAATAATATTTTTAGTTTTATTATAAGAAATTGAGGATAAATCATCTACACCAAGATATACACAATTTTTTGTCTCTTTAATCTTTATTTTGGCTGATTATTTTCGCTGTCTTCCTTTTTTGTCTCCAGAGCAGAAGTTTAGCCTTCTGCTAAATTCAATCCTGTATTGCTATAAAAATCTATCAATCAAACTATTAATAATTAAGTTATAACATAAGTTAATGTATAAGCTTAAAGTTGTTAACTGCTTTACGCAAACTAATTATGAAAAATATCCAGAGATATTAAATTAGAAATTATAAAACCAAGAATAATGTCCCTCTGCCTCAGAAAGATGGAATATATAAAGGGTTGTTTCAATTTAAATCATGATTTAAATCAGACAAATAAAAATAATGATTTAAATTGAGTCTTTTTATTTCAATTGATTTTAATGATTATTTATTGATTTAATCTCATAATTCAATAAATTATTATAGACTAGTCATTCGTCTTAAAACAAAATGTCTGGCAATATTAGAAAGCTCTACATAAGTAGAATATAAATTCTAGTAACATCACTTTTTGTACACTGTTTAATATTTTAGTAGATGGGGTTTCACAATCAAACACAGAAAAATCAAACAAAAAAGA